TTTTCGTTCACAGTAAAACTAATCGTGTTCAGTTAAAGTTATTAAATAGGTTTTCATATATTCTGCATCGACCTATCTGGTCGTCTTTAAACATTTCGGAGAGAAATGGTAGTTACTAACCAAAATGAAGCATTTTTGTGCGAAAATCACTTGAAAAAACATCTGTCTTTTATCATATCTCGATCACTGTTTTGACTCAAATAAAAATGAATATATTGATAGTCATTCTGGTGCGAAATGTACAATTTGGCATCAGTAGATCACCTTCTGCTTTTATGTAGGTTATGAGAATAACGTTTTTAATGAGTACTATAGAGTTAGATGAGTGCGTTATCACAATATTCGGTATGTAGCTCAACAATAACACGACATTTTTGAAAAACTTCTTGTTTTCAGCAGATAGTCTAGACTCTCTACTACAAACTTGCTCACGATCGTATGTTATTTTAACTTAAACCTTTGTAAAAGATGAACCATCTTTGACATCGCTGAAAAAAACAGGATTTTTTTGTGAATGTGTTACTCACAAGTATTTTTCTTATAAAACGTGAACCATGAAGTTAATCGAGGTGAAAATTTTAGATATTAAACACCTTCATTGGCATGCATCCATGCACAAAATGTCAGAGCTTTATTCTTAGTTATTTGGGAAACATTAACATGGAAAGTTATCAAAACGTGAGTGTGTTACTGCGGACAAGCTATCTACCTTTTTCAAGTAGTTCTTCCAATTATTCATGGCACTAACGTATATTGACTTTGCATACTGTCTAAGATGTTTTTAAGTAATCTTTTTTTGATGACTTTGTAACTTAAATTTCGCTGTATGTTCTTTTAATATCTTCTGTAGTAAAATTGCTGGAAATATATGTACATTGATACATATATTTGTTTAGAAATCTGTATTCCACTCTACCTTTTTCCCTCTTTTTTGTCTGAACCTCCTCTTTTTCGCCTCTTTTCGGCTGTAAACCATCTTTTTCCTCTTTTTTTTGGAAAAAAATAGGTTTTTTTACGATAATAGTTGATAATATCGGTCGATTTGAGGGAATCAATATGCTGCGAGCCAAAAGGATCCATAACAGAATTCAAAATTATTCTTCAGAAAGCATCATTAGAACCAGATAAGCGCTTATTCTTCTCACAAATGTTGTTTATTAAGTTTTTTGACATGGAATTTATCGTTTTAGCTAAAACAAACATTTGTTCAGGATGAAATTTGTAAATACGAAAATAAGTTACGGTAGATTTATTGACGTACAAACATCAGTGTTTAGAAATTACATGTCTGAGATCATTGAAATAGTTTTTTCTTAACAGTCGTGCATAAAACTTGAGTGGTGCACTAAGACAGCTCTTCTAGTACGAACAAATATGGTTCCCGATAATTGAAACTCAAGAATTTATGCTCCAGAATTGACAATCTGCCGTTAAAGTGGTCATATTTGTTCGTATGAAGACATAGTTTCCACGACAAAAGTACTGTCGGCACCAAAATTAAGGATGGGTTGGTGTAAGATGAATATCTCAAGAATGACACTAGCTAGCGATCTGTGCTTTTCACCAATTAAAAGAGGCTGAGTTAGGACATGTTTTCATAAAATATTGTATAAGTTTAAATCATTGCCTACTCAATCTTTTTTGAGAATCTTTCCGAAACACGTATAATAATGTACTGTAGTTTCAATGAATTTATCATTATGACATGAAAATTAGATAGATCAACTTGAGCTCTATAGTTCGAGATATAATGCGAATGATTGACTTTTCATTGTACAATGTTGAGCCAGTAAAATCGAGCATTTCCATGCCGAAATAATAGAGAGTCATGTTAATTTTTCAGCAAAATCTTTTACTTTTTGTCAAAACCTGTTTGTAATTCTGATCAAAATTTGATAAAAAAATTAGAAAATTTATTGAAAAATTAACATGACTTTCTATTATTTCGGCATGGAAATGCTCGATTTTACTTACTCAACATTG